CCTCGTGCGCCTCTTCTTCTCTTGCTGCCCGTGCGCAGCTCACTAGTGCCGTGAGCGGCCCTTTTTTCTTCGCGCGCGTAGCCCGCTAGCGGCCCACACGCGGCCTTTCCTGAGCGCGCGCCGACCCCTAGCCGCCCGCGCGACGAGCGCCGCCCACGAGCAGCCCGCTAGCCGCCCGTCGCCAGCCGTCCAGAGCGACGTAGCCCCGCCCTTAGGCCGCCGCGTCGCCCCTCTAGACCGCCGTCCGCGCGCTAGTCAGGCCCACGCACAGCCACGGCCCGCCCGCTACAGCCGCCCACGCACACGCCCCCCGTCGCGCACCGCCGCGTAGCCCAGTCCGAGCCGAGCCGCGCCGCCCGAACCGAGTCGCGCCGCCCGAACCGAGCCGCGCCGCCCGAACCGAGCCGCGCCGCCCGAACCGCGCCGCGCCGCCCTACTGTGCCCCACCAACTACTACTACTGCTCCTACTGCTACAGTTACTACTGCTTCTACTACTGCTGCTACTACAACTATGGCTAGTCCCTCTGTACTAGCTTTCGATGCTGAGGGCCGCCCACTGAAGTTTGAGACCTGGCTCGATGACCTCCACCTATTCCTCCAGCTCACTGCCAAGGAGGATATCTCACTGTACGATCACGCGCTAGGCCATGCTGCTGCCCCTGCTGCTACTGCTGACAGTACTGCCCGTTCACAGTGGCAGACTCGTGACGCCCACACGCGCTTCGCTATTCGCAACTCCCTGCCGATCGATGAGCGTGAGCACTTTGGCCAGCACAAAACAGCGCAGGCACTGTACACTGCTGTAGTGGCACGCTACTCCTCACCTGCTTCTGCTGCGCTAGGCCGTCTCTCGCTCCCCTACCTGTTCCCCGACCTGTCCGCTTTCCCCACAGTCGCTGACCTCACCACGCACCTCCGCACTAGTGAGGCCCGCTTCCGTGCCGCTATGCCCGCTGAGTTTCTTGTCACCCACCCCCCCCCGCTCTGGCTCACTCTCTACCACCTGGTCACCCGTCTCCCTGACTCTCTTCGTGCGGTCAGGGACCACTTCCTCGCTCGCTGCCCCACTGAGCTCACCATGCCTGCTCGAGAAGGAACTGCTTGCAGCTGAGACTAGCATAGTCGCTGTAGCTGCCTCTCGTGGCGACCCCCGCACCCCTTTCTTCGAGGGGTGTTCCCCTTCCCCCCTTCTCCCCTCTATCGCCTCTGCTGCTGCTGTCGACCTCGTTGGTACTGAGCAGGTCGGGGCTGCGTCCGCTCCGAGCTGGCGCCGCAGCAGCAAGGGCAAAGGGGGCAAGGGAGGTGGAGGTGACGGCGGGGGAGGCGGTGGTGGGGGCGGTGGCGGCGGTGGGGGCGGTGGCGGGGCTGGAGGGGCTAGTGGCAGCGGTGGAGGTGGTGGCGGCAGCAGCGGAGGAGGTGGCCGGGGTGGGGGCGGTGGTTGGGGTGGCGGTGGACGCGGAGGCGGCAGGGGCGGTGGTGGTCGAGGTGGTGGCGGCGGCGGTGATGGTCGTGGAGGCGCTGGCGGTGGCCAGAGCCAGCAGCACACTCCGTCGTCCCAGGAGCTTCGTGAGTGGTACTCTCAGCACGGGGGGGGGGGGTGGCCTTAGCTGCACGTACGTCATCCGCACTGGTGACCGCACTGGCCAGACGTGTGGGAGGGCGCACACCACGCAGCGCTGCTTCTCCCGCCTTGATGACGCTTGGCGCACTCAGTTCCCTACTGCCACTGAGCTGCCCCGCTGGGCTGACCTGATGAAGAAGAACATTGATATCTATGCTCTTGACTTTGATGCTACTCTCACTGCCATATATGTGTTGTCTACTAGTGGAGAGGGTGATCAGTACCTGCGTGTTCCGCCCGACCCGGGCATTCGGACCAGTGAGGCTGCCGCTCTAGGTGCTAGTGCGTCTGTTGCCCTAGGTGCTGGTGAGGCTGCCGCTCCAGGTACTAGCGTGTCTGCTGCCCCAGGTGCTGGTGAGGCTGCTGCTCTAGGTGCTAGTGAGTCTGCGCCCCCTGGTACTGAGTCTACTGAGGCACTGCACACTTTCACACTGGACTCAGGTGCTTCTCGCTGTTTCTTTCGTGACCGCACTGCCCTTGAGCAGCTTGCTCGGCCAGTTGCTGTCTCCCTTGCTGACCCCTCTGGGGGTCCGGTCATTGCGACCTCCTCCACTGTCCTTCCTTGTCCTGCGGTTCCGTCGGGCACACTGTCAGGTCTCCACCTCCCCTCGTTCTCTACGAACTTGGTGGCGGGTTGTGCGCTCCAGGACGGGGGTGTCCACCAGTTCACCCCTGCCTACGAGCGCGTGACACACTGCACGTGTGCTCGGACGGGCCGTCACCTGGCTACCTTCACTCGGCAGCCGGGGTCGGACTTGTACACACTGACCACTGAGTCCCCTCAGGTAGCTGCGTCTGCGTCTGCGTCCGGTCAGCTGTCGGCCCCCTGCTCGTGTCGCTCTCTAGCACACGAGACCGTACTCTGGCACCACCGCCTTGGTCACCCGTCAGTGCAGCGCCTTCGTGGCATGCACAAACGGTACCTTGTCTCTGGTCTTCCCCGGGTACTCCCTCCCCTCCCACCCTCTCCTGCTCCTCCCTGTCTTCCCTGTGTCGAGGGGCGGCAGCGCGCCGCTCCTCACTCCTCCTCGTTTCCCCCGACGACTGCTCCCTTGCAGACGCTCCACATGGACGTGTGGGGCCCAGCCCGCGTCCGTGGACAGGGTCAGGAGAGGTACTTCCTGATCGTTGTTGACGACTACTCGCGCTACACCACGGTCTTCCCCTTGCGCACCAAGGGTGAGGTCCCTGATGTCTTGATCCCTTGGATCCGCGCTTCTCGTCTCCAGCTCAGCGAGCGGTTCCACTCGGACTTTCCTGTCCTGCGTCTGCACTCTGACAGAGGTGGTGAGTTCTCCTCCGACCTCTTGGCAGCCTACTGTGCGGAGCACGGCATCCGCCAGTCGTTCACACTTCCGGCCTCTCCACAGCAGAATGGGGTTGCTGAGCGCCGCATTGGCTTTTGTCATGGAGGTCGCTCGTACCTCCTTGATCCATGCGGCTGCCCCCCACTTTCTGTGGCCGTTTGCGGTCCGGTACGCTGCGCATCAGCTCATCCTCTGGCCCCGTGTCTCCTTGCCGGAGACCTCGCCCACACTGCGGTGGACGGGGGAGGTTGGGGATGCGTCGCGTTTCCGGGTCTGGGGATCTCGAGCTTTTGTCCGCGATACGTCCGCGGATAAGCTCTCCTCCCGTGCTGTTCCTTGTGTCTTCCTTGGCTTTGTCCCGGACGCGTCTGGTTGGCAGTTTTACCACGCCACCTCGCGCCGTGTCCTGCCCTCTCAGGACGTCACTTTCGACGAGTCGGTCCCCTACTACCGCCTCTTCCCCTACCGCACTGCCCCGCTCCCCCCCCCGCCTCTCTTCCTCGCGCCAGGTGCTGCTGTGGTAGACCCCCTCCCCCCTCGGGGTGCCGCTCCCTCAGGTGTGTCCCAGGTTGACCCGGTTGAGCCTGTTGAGGTAGCTGTCGACTCTCGTCCTGCTAGGGGTGCTGAGCCTGAGCGTGCGGAGCCTGGGGGTGCGGAGCCTGGGGGTGCTGAGCCTGGGGGTGCTGAGCCTGGGAGTGCAGAGTCTGGGGGTGCTGAGCCTGGGGGTGCGGAGCCTGTGGGTGCTGAGTCTGGGGGTGTTGAGTCTGGGGGTGCTGAGCCAGAGGGTGCTGCGACTGAGCGTGCTTCACCTGGAGGAGCTCTCTCCTCACAGCAGCTACGTGAGTGGTACTTACAGTACTGCAGCCTCAGGAGGGGTGCTTCTGGAGCTCGGAGTGCTGCTGGAGCTGGTGCCCGTGCTTCCCCTCCTAGGCGGGAGCTGCCCTCTCCCCAGCGGCTCCGAGAGTGGTACGCTCGGCGCTGCAGTCTCCGGAGTGGCGCTCCTAGTGTCGCGGACCCTGGTGCTGGAGCTACTGGCGGTGCTGCTGGCGCTGCTGGAGGTGCTGCTGGTGCCGGTGCTACTGGTGCTGGAGCTGCTGGAGGTGCTACTGGTGCTAGAGCTGCTGGAGGTGCTGCTGCTGCTGGCGGTGCTGCTGGCGCTGCTGGAGGTGCTGCTGGTGCTGGAGCTGCTGGAGGTGCTGCTGCTGCTGGCGGTGCTGCTGGCGCTGCTGGAGGTGCTACTGGTGCTGGTGCTGCTGGAGCTGCTGGAGGTGCTGCTGGTGCTGATGCTGCTGGAGCTGCTGGAGGTGCTGCTGGTGCTGGTGCTGCTGGAGCCGCTGGTCCTGGAGGTGCTCGTACTGGAGGTACTGGAGCTGCTGAGGGGGTTGGAGCTGGAGGTGCTGAGCGGCCGCGACCGTACTACGTTCCGCTCCTTCAGCAGGTTCTTGGTCTCCCGCCCGCTACTGGTCCTACTCCTCCCCTACTGAGTCCACCGTCTGTCCAGTCGCAGTCACAGTTACAGCCTGCCTCTCCGCTGCCTGCTCCTTCTCCTTACACTGCGCCGGGGGGTAGTCTTACGGAGCGTCGTGAGCCTGAGTCTCGTCCTCCGTCGCCTGAGTCTAGTCTTGCGTCTCCTGAGTCTCGTCTTGAGTCGCCTGTCCGCGCTGCCCGCACTGGTCGTCGTGTTCCGCGTGAGCGTCCTCCTCCTGTCCTTGGCACTCACTACATGATCCTACGTCCTTCCACTGCTCCACAGCGTGTCCCTCTGCCGTCTCCTCCTGCGTCCTCTCTTCCTGACGATGCTGACCCGCCGTCAGACCTTGTTCGTGCTGCCAGTCCTACTGTCACGCGTTTCCTCGCTACTGTTGTCACTGACCCTACCTTTGAGTCCTCTGCTGCGTCTGCTCTAGTTGCTGAGCTTGTTGACTTTGCTGCCGCCTGTCGTCTAGACTACGCCGCTAGCCTTGTTGCTGAGTCTGAGTCTGTCTGTCCTCCGTCCGTCGGGGGTGAGTGTGCTCTTGGCACGGACGTCCTTGAGGACAGACAGGAGGAGTTTGAGTGCTTTGCCGCTGCTTTACCTCATCTCGTGTCCATGCTGATTGCCCCTGAGGGAGACCCGGATGCACCAGACATCCCGACCCCACGCTCCTACGCAGAGGCGATGGAGGGTCTCTACTCCTCGGTTCGATCTGCAGCTCCCGCGCCAGCAGCGTAAACGCTCCCCAGTCCAGCCCTCTCTCCCCGACCGTCTTCCACGTGGGCAGCTTCTTGCGGACCTTTCCTGGTAGTCTGTTCTGCGCCGACTCTGCCTCCTCGAAGATGGGCGGGAAGGGCTCATCTCCGTCATGGTTCCCGATGATGCTCTTCCCGCCCACCTGGAAGAACGACTTCAGGGTCCCAGCTACGCTGAGAAGGCTGACCACGTACGCCAGATCAGCCGACCGCTCGGCTGATTGGACCCCGAAGCCGCCCATCCACTCCGGAAGAGTGATCTGAGTCTGCGCCGCCTTGTTGACCTTCCCGGGTGTAAGAAGGCTGTCGTCTTGTAGGGTATCGGCGAAACAGCATAACACGGACCCGTCCCAGAATGACAACGTCTGCCGAAAGTCCTTAGTCGGCGGCGTAGTGCGGCACAAGAAGTTGGTCCGCGCCGAGATCGAACCCGCCAAAATCCGAGAAGCCATTTGAGCGTGGTTTATCCTCGGCAATCTGCTCAGGATCGTGTGTCCCGGCTCCAGTTTGGCCAAGACCGCTGCCTCCGCAAAAGACTTGCTGCCGACCGGGGAACCCACCACCACGAGGCCCTCCTTAGCCTCGGTCATCTCGCGGAGAGGGTTGTCAGCAGATGGCCGATTGCCACTCGGCGCATACCACTGGCATTTCTTCTGTGAGACCTCCAGGTCAATCTCGCGCAGCTTCTCGCACAGGGTCGGAAACGCCGCGCCAATCGCATCCAACTCTCCCAACAGGTAGGTGTCGTCAGCATAGCTGCACAGGAAAATGTCTCGATGTGCCGCCTTCACCGCTTCCAGGGCCGGTTGTTGAGCGAGTGCGTAGAGGAATGGGCCCAGGGGGTCCCCTTGCCTCACTCCTGTTCGCGACCAAAGAGTGTGACGGGTCGCGCCAGCTCTATACAGGAGTGGGGAAGGACCCCCATAGAGGGTGCGCAGGAATGGAGTCATTGCCACAAAGGGGCCTTTAACAAGCTCCTTGAAGAGTGCCTGGCGGCAGACCGAATTGAATGCATTCTTAACGTCGATCTGAAGGACACCCCATGTAGGATTGGCCTTCAAAGCTGCCCGCACTCCGTGGATGACCGTTTCCGCGCCGTTCCTTGCACCAGCCCCGAACTGACCCTTCGGCTTCAAATGTCGGATGATCGCATCATGGTAGTCCGCAGCGAAGCACCGCGCCAGGAGACGGGGAAAGACCTCCCCCACTGCGATCGGGCGTACTCCACCACCCGGCTTCTCCAAAGCCACTAGTGAGCTCGCTGTCCACCACTGTGCCACCCCTTGCCCCACCTCTCCTCTTGCTACCGCCTGAAGCCATGCGCACAGGAGCTTGAGATCACACGGATGTGTGAAAAGTTCTCGTAGGAAGTCCATGCGCCAGCCGGTGGGTCCACCTGCAGAGCCGCGTGGGCTCTCGCGAAGGGCCCGCGCAAGAACATCCAGCTTCAGGACCCATTTTGTAGGTTTCTCTGGGTGAGGGAGGGTGCAGCTGCCGTCGTCTGCCGTGAAAGGCGCTGTGGGGCAGGGGTGCTTCTCCTCAAGACTCTTTCGAGTCTCATCCGTTGTGGGGGCCAGGGCTGCAGCAATCAGCGCCTCCGACGCTCGGGAGAGTTCAGCCTGCTCTCCGAACTTAATGCAGCGCCGTGATCGAGCCAGTGTCTCCGCAGAGCCGTAGTTGTCGTCCACCCGAGCTTTGTTCTCCCGTATTCGGCTTTTCATCTTGTTGATAGCCGCCAAGGCTCGGAGGTTTAACTTAGCCCAGTCGCCCCGACTCCACCAGACAAGCAGCTCCCGCACCTGCTTCCAGTGGGGAGAGTTGTTCGTGAGCGCGGCCGATGACAGACACAGCTGCGGGAAGATCCCCAGCAGAGTCCCTGCCGTCTTGTGGTCTTTATCTTGCCAGAGCTTCTCGAGGATTGGACGGAGACAAGCAGCAGCCAGCCCGCGGCATTTGAATGGCACCTTGCGGAGTGTTGGCAGCATGGCTGCCTCCTCCCCGATAATAGGTGACCAGTCTTGTGCCTCGAAGTTAGCCCAGTAGTCCGCCCAATGGTCCGCCCTCTCCGCTTCCGCAGTGGAACCCTCCGGAGGAGGGGTGGCCGCCCGCTTTCTATCTCGGAGCTGCTCCTCCCGTTGCGCGTCCCATGCCGCGCACCCGTTCTTTCGGCCGGCATGCTTTCTGACTGCTCCTTGGCTCCGGAAAAGTCTGGAGAAAAAAGTGCACCGGTGACCTTTGGGGCGCTTTGCTTGGCCGCCGTGGCTGATAGCGCTAGAGTCAGACTTCGTGGGCGCTGCGGTAGAGTCTTTGGAAGCCTTGTTTGACGCCGAGGCATCCTCTGAGCTCGACTCGGCAAAAAGCTGCGGCTTGGCTGTCCCCGTCTTCCGCGTCATTGCCTGAGATTTGTCGCGGAGTCCGAGCTCGCCCCACGCCTCCCGACCCTTTGGACGATGGTCCGGCTTCTTGTTGCCTCCCGCCTTCTGCTTCTTGGCGGTGGAGGTCGACTTTGGAGTGGGCGAGGGCGCCTGGGAGGGTACTGTGCCAGGTGACTTTCGGTTCGCAGCAGGAGCGGGCGGCGTAGCAGATGTTTTCGCAGCCGAGGGAGTCGAAGAGCCGGTCGGAGCGGCCGGTGTCGAAGAGGCCTGGGACTTGGGCCTCTTCTTCTTCTTCTTCTGTCTCGGCTTTTTGCCCTTGGTCTTTTGACCCGCGTCTGATCCTCCTGTGGGGGCAGGGGACGGACGTTGCGCAGCCGAGGAGGCCTTGCTAGCTACAGGATTGTTAGGAGAAGCTCCTGCCTTCCCCGAGGCTGGCTTAGCCACCTCCCTCTCGCCGCCTGAACTAGACCGGCGCATCTCCTCGATCTGGTCAGACATAGTCTGAACCTTCTCGGTGAGAGTAACCATCATGTTATAGAGGCGGTCGAAGGCCTCCCGATCTTGGGTATCTGGGAGGGGCTCGCTGTACGGCTGGCTGTCGTTCCGCTCGTTGACAAGCAGGGTCCCCATGTCCACGTCGGGCCCAGCGTCAGAAGGTTGTGACGGGTGGTCGGCTGGAGGGGTGGGGATTGCTCCTTGTCCAGCGGCCCCATCGGGTGGGTGTTGCTGGGAGCTGTCCTCAAGAACCTCCTCTGGCCCAGCTTCGGCTTGCGGAGCTGCTTTTGGGGTAGCCTTTTCTCCCTCCAAGGCAAGGGGAATACCTTGCGTTTTTTGTTCTGGGCCAATCCGTAGCACTTCTGCTAGCTTGGCTGGGTCGATCCGAGCTGGAGAACATCGATGCCGCTTGCGTATCTTGCGGATCTTCTGCCCCCAAAAGACGTGGCTACAGCCTGTGCACTGTGCAGCCACCAAAGGGCGGTTGCTAGTGACAGGGCCTTCGCCACTCACCGCTAGAGCACCCTCCTCACCACTCGCTTTGAATCCCAGGAAATCTGGGGCGAGTTTTCCGAGGTGTGTCCCCGACCCATCAAAGGGGTTCTGAGACGCCTTTTCTGGCTCCGAAGACGGTTCGGCCGCGTTAATCACTGGATCGAAAAAGACAATCTTTGGAGGGGGTGGATGGTCCGATTCGGTGAGTGTCTTCGCCTCAGCAGCGGATCTCCTGTTTTTTCGTTTCCGACCTCGCACTTCCAGCTGTTGCTGGTTGTCATGCTCGGGTGGGAGGACTATGACCACTTTCGGTTCAAAACCAGTGGGCAAGTCCAAGGGTTGCTGCAGAACATCAGTAGCCTGGCCGAGGCACTCGGCAGAACGTTGTTTCTTTGGCGGCGTCTCCTCTAGGGTAGGCGCTTTGGCAGAGCGCTTTCCCTTTCTGCGAGCAGCAGGGGCACCGGCATACAACGTCATTGCGAGGGTCTCGGGGTCCGTCAGGGGTGGCGAGTCCCTTGGGACCTCCCCAGCAGAGCCGAGACGGGCTGACTCGTTCTGTTGGGGCCCGGGGGCGGGAAGAGCGAGGCGCTCTTTCCCTCGGAGGCGATGTTTTTTGCCACCAGCCGCCTTTTGTATGGGCGGACTCATAGTGCGAAGATTACTCCCCGCAGAGCGCTCTTTCTTAAGCCTTCCGATAGAATCAGGAAGACCCACCACCATATAGTGTCTGTACTTCCCACTGACCGTGGTTCGCTGCAGATCGGCTTCCAGCTGTCGGGTTGTGACCATACCCCGCCTAGCCAGAAGGCTGGCGGGCCACGAGACCGGCGAAGCTCCGCTTGGTACCGACAGTGCCACAGCTTTTCCTGCAGTAAGATGGTGTCGCAGGGCCCCAAGGCCCCACTACCCCTTAGGCCGCTTCAGCCGAGCCGGCACCTCCCTATCGGAGAGGTGGGTACTACCCGGTTTCTGTGGGACACGCGCGTTGAAATCTCTCAAAGGTCTAATCTAACTGATCGCTTGGCAGGCGTTCGAAGGCAGTTTGTAGGTAGCTGGTTCGCTTGAGAGCGCTTGAGAGTATATGAGAGTTTGTGTGCATGAGAGTTTTTTATTTCAACTGGAGTGGCGTGAACCAGCTACCAGATGGTTCGATTAGTCTTTCGAATTTAGTAGAGACCCTCCATCGCCTCTGCGTAGGAGCGTGGGGTCGGGATGTCTGGTGCATCCGGGTCTCCCTCAGGGGCAATCAGCATGGACACGAGATGAGGTAAAGCAGTAGCAAAGCACTCAAACTCCTCCTGTCTGTCCTCAAGGACGTCCGTGCCAAGAGCACACTCACCCCCGACGGACGGAGGACAGACAGACTCAGACTCAGCAACAAGGCTAGCGGCGTAGTCTAGACGACAGGCGGCAGCAAAGTCCACAAGCTCAGCGACTAGAGCAGACGCAGCAGAGGACTCAAAGGTAGGGTCAGTGACAACAGTGGCAAGGAGACGCGCGACAGTAGGACTGGCAGCACGAGTAAGGTCTGACGGCGGGTCAGCAACGTCAGGAAGAGAGGACGCAGGAGGAGACGGCAGAGGGACACGCTGCGGAGCAGTGGAAGGACGCAGGGTCATATAGTGAGTGCCAAGGACAGGAGGAGGACGCTCACGCGGAACACGACGACGAGTGCGGGCAGCGCGGACAGGCGACTCTGGACGAGGCTCAGGAGACGCAGGACTAGACTCAGGCGACGGAGGACGAGACTCAGGCTCACGACGCTCCGTAAGACTGTTATAGTCACAATAGCCTTGAATGTGCCTAAAACGAAAGATAGAGTGCACAGACGGATTTCTGCACAGCGGCTTCAAACGTTGATAGAGTTCTGCTCACAGCTGCAAATGACTTGATTCAAATTGGATCTAGAGCGTCTTGACGTCGCCTACAATAAGCAATTTAGATTGCACGATTTCATAAAGAATTGACGATACAGCGTCGGTTTGAACGAACGGTACTATGGCAGCCACTATAGTCTTAGAACACAAGATAGGAAGAGTTACGAGTTGGGAATGACTCCCAGCTCCTACAAACCCCAAGAGCGAGGTACAGTGATGTGGAACAGTGCCACACTGTCCCCAACCACGAAGGGTCTCGAAACTACCCTCCACAAGGGCCTACACCAAGAGAAATGTTACACTACACAAAGTAATGCAACTATTCTCACTATCTTAAAGTTTACCCTTTTGGAGAGCTTCGAAATAACTTGAATCTTGAAACCAAGGCTCTGGTTCTTCAAGGTAAATTCTTCCTTGAGTTCTTGGAAGTCTGCTACGCACACTTGCGACACGCCGAACGTTCCACACACGACAAAATAGAAAACCGCACACGACACGCAAACGACGACGTGACACGCGACTAGCGATAACTCGCTATTGACTCGACGCACACATTCAAAATCATGCCTCAACATTCACACACAATTATAAGCATGAAATATATATTATCCCATGCCCTCATACCATTCCATACACACACACATTCACGCACACGGACAACAAGCCGAGTGCAAACCGTAGGGTTGCACCAACAAACTCCCCCTCGGATTGTTGGCCTTAGGATATGTTGCTCTCTCAGTTCAGAGCCATCCCAGCCAGCTTGCAACACTTCCAATGCTGCTGCTCCACCAGCCTCTTGGTCATCATGTCAGCCGGCTGCCCCGTGGTCTTCACGTAGCGCAACTCAACTTCACCCGCGGTTACCATGCTCCTCGTCCAATGCCACTTCACCCTCATGTGCTTCGTGAGTCCATGCAACACAGGGTTCTTAGCAAGAGCAATGGCACCCTGGCTGTCACAGTACAGTGGGGTAGGTCCTTGCTGCTCCTCCCCCAATTCAGCCAACAAACGCCGCTGCCACACAATCTCCCGTACGGCACGGAAGAGTGCCATGTACTCGGACTCCACCGAGCTCAAAGCTTGGTCAACCTGCTTCTTGCTCTCCCAAGCAGTTGGGCCTCCACCAACACAGCATATGAAGCCTCCCACACTTGTCATGTCCTCTGGTTCTGATGCATATGAAGCATCCGAGTAGGCGGTGAGGAACAAACGCCCGGGTTCAACACCATCCGCGCCCTTTTGGCGCCTTTGTGCCGCCGCCGAGTATTGCAGCCCAACGGTCGGTGTTTGGCCAAGATACTTGGCCACCCTCATTCCAGCTGCTACCTGCTCCTCATTAGGGCATTGCACAACCCTAGCCAGCTGCCCGGTAGCAAACGCGACGTCCAGTCGGGTATTTACCGCCGCATACATGAGGCTGCCCACCAACGAGTGAAATCGGCGCCTCTCCTCTTCACCAACGCTCTCCTCCTCTGGTCCCTTCACACACTTGAAACCAGAGGGAAAGGGTGTAGCCACATGGCCTTCACTCTGCCCAAAGTTGGCAGCCAATGCCTCCAGGTACTTCCGTTGATGCACCCGCATGCACCGCTTCTCCACATCACGTTCAATGTGAAGCCCAAGGTAGAAGTTGACGTCACCAAGGGCCTTACACTTAAACTTGTCCTGAAGCTTCAGCATCACCTCCTTCACAAGGTCAGATGAGGGTGAAAAGATGAGGATGTCATCCACGTACACCACCATGAAGCTCCTCTGCTCCCCCTCGCCAAGCATGAACAATGAGTGATCGGCCGTTGAGGGAGTGAAGCCGATCTCCTCCAAAACTCCTCGCAGCTTCAAGTACCACTGCCTAGGGGCCTGCTTCAGTCCATAAAGGGCCTTCTTCAGCCTCAAAACTCTGCCACTACCGTCATCAAACCCCTCTGGCTGCGCCATGAAAATCTCTTCCTCAAGGACGCCATTGAGGAATGCCGTTGTGACATCCATTTGTTTCACCACCCATCCTTTGATGGCAGCTCCCGCGAGTAGGGTTCGAAGCGTCGTCGGCTTCACCACAGGAGCAAACAACTCCTTATAGTCCACCTTCTCCTTCTGCTGGTACCCCTTCGCCACAAGCCTAGACTTGTAGCGCTCGATCTTGCCGTCGGCGTCGGACTTGATCTTGAAGAGCCACTTGGACGTAATCGCCTTACGCCCCTCCGGTAGCTCCACCAATTCCCATGTGCCGTTCTCCTCAATGCTCTTCAGCTCACTCTCCATTGCCTTCTTCCACTCCTCAGCATCACTACTCTCCAAGGCCTCCTTGAGAGTTGCTGGTTCCCCCGGCATCTCCACCGGAGAGAAGAACGCAAAGGCACACTCCTCGTAGTCACTCTCCTCGTCTTCTCCAACTATAAGTGCCGCTCCGGCCAAGGCTGACTTGGCTGGCTTTCCCAGTGCCTCATAGGTCAGCCTATTTGGGGCTTGGATTCTCCTTTTGCCCCTTCCTTCTTCCTCAGCTGCAGGGACATGAAGGCCTTGGCGTTGCTGCGGGGTGACTCGGATCCGTGGAGCACTCGTAGTGCGAGAAGGAAGTGTCGGTGCACGCTCGCTCACTTGCTGAACCTCCTCCTCTTCTTCCTCTGCATCCTTGGCCTCCTCTCCCCCATTCACAAGGGAAGATTGCCTTGTGGTGGTGCTGCCGCTGCTCAGCTCCAAGGGCAGCTCCACATGCTCCAAACCGGAACTCTTCACGTCCCCCAACCGCACGCCTATCTTCGCCTCATTCTCCGCCTTCCAATCCTTGTACATCAGATTCTCCATGAATTTGCAGTCCCTGCTCACCAAGAATTTCTTGGTGAATGGGTCCCAAAGAAGCCACCCCTTGCTGTTTTGAGCCATGCCCAAGTGCACAGCCCATATCGCCTTGGCACCGAGCTTGTTGTGCCGAAGATGCTTAGGCACGAGCGCCATGCACATGCACCCCAACACCCGCATGGACGATGGAGGTGCGAGCAACCTCCATCACCAAGCCAATGCGGTGCTCTGCAATCCCATTCTGCTGTGGAGAGGCCGGAAGCGTGAACGTCTGGTGGATGCTTTCAGCACCACTGAAGTCCTCGAGGAGGCCGGAGGAAAACTCACCACCTCGGTCAGAGTGCAGCCGCAGGACTGGGAGGTCCTCACGGAACCGAGCGCGAAGCTGGAGACGGACAGCGCGGATCCAGCGGATCAGGACACTGCGGGCCTCCACCTTGCTCTGCAAGGGGAAGACCGTGGTGTAGTGCGTGTAGTCGTCTACAACCAGCAAGAAGTAGCGCTCTCCGCCCTGTCCAGGGACTCGGGCTGGACCCCACACGTCCATGTGGAGGGTCTGCAGAGGAGCTGTGGTCGGAGGAAACGAGGAGGAGTGAGGAGCGGCGCGCTGCCGCCCCTCGACGCAGGGGAGGCACGGCAGGCGCAAGCGACCTCGGGAGCGGGGGCAGGGACCTGGGAAGCTCAGAGACAAGGAGACGGGAGTGCATGCCACGAAGGCGTGGCAAGGAGGGGAGGCCAAGACGGTGGTGCCAGAGGAGATTCTGGTGCGTGAGGAGATGACACAAGCAAGACGCAGCAACCTCAACCGACACAGCTACCTGACCAGCTGCTGGCTCCTCAAAGCCTTCATCCTTCTCTGGACCAGCCGGTACTTGCGTCGACACGAAGTAGAATAGACCCGGGTATCGATCGTCGCTCGGGTCCTTGTCGTTGTCTCCGCTCTTCATGTTTGCAGCTCCGCCACCGCGACCGCCACGGCCTCCACGGCCTCGTCCTCTCCCTCCTCCTGCTCCTCTACCCTCTTGGCCTTGAGCAGGGGTCCAACCA